TTCTTGAAAGTTTCTTTATCCAGTTGTAGATGTTTGTTTCTGTTTCCACCACTCCCCTGGGGATTCTCGATGTGTAACAGATCGAATTTCGTGGAGCCGTCGCCGATTTTGAAATCCTTTTTGGATTGTTGCACACGTTGTATTTCTTTAAAAATGACGTCTTCGTTTAAATCTTTACATTGCATAAACCCGTAAGAAATGTCTGAATCCAGAGAATCGTGACTTATGTTCAGGCGAAGGTAATCGTTAGGATCACACTGCATTTTCGATTTGAAGTCCTGTAACATGTTTTTGAATAATCGTAGAAGGAAAGCTGTGCTTTCTTCTTCTTCTGGAAATTCATCGAAATGAACGACATATTCATTTTCATGCGCTTTAAATTTTGGAGAGGTCCATTTTTCAGCTAGTCTCATGTGATAATACTCCGAAATGGGTTTAGGTGGTAAATCTATTTCTCTCTCGGTACTTTTTCGTTTCAATATGCGTCGAGCCTGTACCTGTTTTTCTCTAGTAGAATCCATGTCTATCAGCTGATGGCTCTGAGAGTAAAATGAACCCAAAGTCGGGAGAAAACCGTATTTATATACAGTGGATGACGTCATAATGCACAGGTAAGTTTTTGCACACGGCCCTAAACAAACTTGGCTCGCTGCCAAGTATTTACCTGTGTAGTCAGCATATTTTTTGCAAACGGCCCTAAACAAACTTGGCTCGCTGCCAAGTATTTACCTGTGTAGTCAGCATATTTTTTGCACACGACCCCTAAAATATTCCTATAGTATATAAACCAGAGTTAGGAGTACCCTGCGCTCATTATATCCATCATGTTTTCCCTGTGGAGATTTGTGTATTGGATTGATGTAGAAAATACAATTTGTCATTACTGTGATCAGAATACGATGAATTATAAAACATTCACAGTGTATAACCCGTGTCCGGAATGGAATTGGAAAACGTACAGGATTTGCCAGCATTGTGAAATGCCATTTCCACACTGGTTTAAAGATGATGAGCCTAGTATGAAGACTCGTGGGTGTAGCTGGTGTCTGAAATATTTCATCTGGAAGAAGGGAATTGAGAACATACCGCCTCCCCGATGGATGAAAATGACTAGGAACACACCCTTGAAAGAATGTATGATGTGCTACGAGGAAAAGACTCAAGGGAAATGGAAATGCGGACAATGCAGGCAATATCCGTGTTGTGAAAAGTGTGTGAAGAAACTTTTTGAGACTTCCTACCAGAAATGTCCCTTATGCCGATACAGTGGAAATTAAAATCATTTTTTGTATTTTTCATTGTGAATAAAATTGAAAAATCAAAATCTGTCTTGTTTGATTTTGTTTTCAGTAAAACCAGTTCAAGCCGGTTATAGGACTGTCTAGACTGTGAATGCGTGACGTCATAATCACATTCTTGAAATGTTTTTGCACACGGCGCATTTTTACCTGTATAGTCAGCATAAAAACAAAAAACGTAGTACCTACGTACCAATGTAAACAGTGTAAACACACCCTGTATTTAGGGAATAGGTTAGGGTTAGAGGGCTAAGGGGGATAGGGTTAGGGTTAGTTAGGGCTAGGGGGTGGGGTTAGTTAGGGGGTTAGGGTTAGGGTTAGGGTTAGGGTTAGTTAGGGTTAGGGGTTAGGGTTAGTTAGGGTTAGGGTTAGGGGGTTAGGGTTAGTTAGGGCTAGTTAGGGATAGGGGGTTAGGGTTAGCACTGTACTCAGTTGACCCACTTATCCCCTCCACCAATCAAATCTGATCACGTGATTTCTCTCAACCAATCAGAATGCGGTCCTAGCGGGGCTGCTTATACTACTCATACCGAGGCCAAAACGTGAGAATCGTGTACAAAGCGTGTGAGAAACGTGTACAAAGCGTTTCGTGCAGCCTTTCGTGTAAACCGTGCAGCCTTTCGTGTAAAACGTTTAGTGTAAATCGTGTAGCGTTTCGTGCAAACCGTGTAGCGTTTCGTGTAAACCGTGCAGCTTTTCGTGCGAACCGTGTAGCGTTCGTGTACCGTTCGTGCAGCGAGCGTGTGGGGTAGTAGCACGTCTCAGGGTCTAAGTAAAATTATTCCGTACACAAAGGTTAGGAAAAGAATTGCATTTGTTGTGTTCCTAATATAGGTTGTGATTCTATAAAATACTTTATCTTGCTTTACAGCTATGCATATATATACTAACAAAAGCACGTAGTATGTCTTTAAGGAAGTCATTGTTTTAAATATTACTCAAGGATGAGAGTAATAGCCTTCCCTCAACAGCTGCTCGGTCAAGGGTGGATGATTATGTAATTGACCAATCTTGCTTGGTGTATCATTCCTGGTACAAATTGTAGCTTTCCAGTTTCCTTGAGTACAATTCTAAGATACTCATGTTTCTATCTCGTTGTTTTTCCTATTATTTGTAAAGCCATTCCAAACATGATGGCTGCTTCCCTTGCTGGTCTGTATGAAGTCAACATGAAGTATTACACTGTTTTCAGTAAATTGATGATTCTCATTGCTTGGAGTCTATTTTGGATAATTTGAATTGATCTCAAAATAACTAATTAGTGAAGTGATTTTTGGAGAGGGGAACTTGGATTAGCATCAAAGAAGTAAACTCACCAATTAACAGAAAGCTCCAAAATTTAAAATAAATTAATACTTTAATTTACAAAGTTGGTAGTTAATTGAGGGAAAATATTATGAAGATTCAATATATTTAGCATAAATAAACAAAAATACTTATATGTAGTATTACATGTATTATTTCATTTATTGTTCTCATAAATTCCCATCAACTCTTAAATTCCATCTAATAATTTTTAACCTTGTTATAATTTTAAATTCTGCAAATACTAAAATATGTTAATATTCCTTAGTTTTGTTTATCTTTTCCTATATGTTGTTTTTATCCAAATTTGTTTTAATTTGATTTATTTTGCTTTCTTAATTATGAAATTAACTAATAACAAAAACATCTTGTCAATTAACAACTTTTGTTTATACAACAATGTGAAAAGAAAATTTCCTTTTCACCTAAGTACTTATAAACTCTTTGTTACCTGTATTTCCTAGTTAAGGAGGAATGAGAACACACCAGTGTGTATACCGGTTAAGGACTTCAATCTAGATTATTCGGAAATCGAAGCCTTACAATTTAATTTAATATATTTAGATAGACATACACAAAAATGATACCACAATTTTAAAAAAATATTGCCGTGATTAAAAAGGTTCACTCTTATCGACAACTTAACTGCAATAATGTAGCCCTCTCCCTTTTTTTGGGGGGGGGGAGGGGGGGAGAGGGCTACAACTCCTTAGGATCTCCGTAATGGTGCAAAGCGGGAGTGATTCACTCCCACACGGATTTCGGCTTAAATTGTAAGTAAACGGTCCGAAAATATAGGGAACAATCCATATATCCGTATTTTTCTGTATGTCAACATCACAACTTAAATTTATCCGCCATATGTTTACTGACCTTGACAGATTTTACTTTGGAGCAGCCAATGAGATTAAGGATCTAAAGGGAGCGGATTTCAATGTCAATGTTTACGAAAAAATGACACATGGAATAATTTTTTATTGATGTTTAGTGTTATTATTCATCACAATTATTTATAAACATCGACATGTGCTTTATTGAGTTATTCTAAATTTCAAGCGCAAGTATCGATCGATACGTCACGCGTGAACTGTCATGGCTGCTGAATAAAGCGACAAGATTTATTTTACATGATGGTTTTCGCGTTTAACGAGCTATGATGTCGACAGTCAATAAAAATTTTGTCTTATTAGAGGTAAGTTCAATGTAAAAACAATTTATTCTGCCTGCAGTCACGCGTATTAAAAAATATTTTTGGAACATTACGGAGATGCTGTGGAATTGTAGCCCTCTCCAGAAAATGTCAGATAAAAAAAATCGGAGAGGGCTACATTATTGCAGCTAATCTACAACTATGTAATACTATGTTAAAGCATATTTTTAAAAAAAGTTCAAAATCTATCATTGAACGTTCGTTTAACTGCAATATAGTAGTGAAATCTATACCTTAATGGAAACATTTAAAATATCTATAACCCATGATGTCCCTATTCCTTTAACGCGTGACTTATCTAAAAATAAATATACAGCATGTCATCATAAGAAGGAAGAAAACATGTTGGAAGTTTCCTTGTTTACAAAATATATGAATGCAATGCAAAAAGTATTTTTAATCACCAAGTAAAGGATTAGGTTTATAATTCCATGAAAAAGGTAGGTTTTGAAAATACAGGAAACCTTTTTAAATTTATTCTTTTCCCAGAGCCAAAGTAAGTTTTGTAGCATTTTATTCGCCTAACGTCTTATAAATCGAACCCATTCTTCGTTATCTTAAAATTCAAGGTTCAATTTCCCTGCATGTTCTGATGCTTCTAGGGATTATCACTCTCACCCGCCAGAAAACACCCGGGATTAAACGTAGGCTCTAGATGTAACAATGACTTGTAACTGCCTCTGAATGGCTTGCAGGTCCGGGGTTCGACCAAGTGGACTGAGGGTTAACCCACTTGCCCAAGTTAGTAGGAAGCAATGTATCTGACACTTCCACATTTGTAAAATTCCTCTCTCCTGCAAGAAAAAATTTTTTTTCAAATTGTGACTCCAGTGTTTCTGGACCATGGATGTAAAAGGCAAGTAAAGCCTTAAGTGTGCATGTTTTGAAAAGGAGGGAATAAATGGATTCTGTCTGTAGATACATGTATGTTTCATGTCCTATCCATCAAAATTCATTGGAATTCCCCATGTGAACAAAAAGTGTATTCATGATCAACTTTTAAAAACTAAATTTTTAAACAATTAGCGGTTAAAAAATTACGACATGAGACTTCTTCAACATTTTTTTTAATTTAATGAATCCTTGGTTTGCGAAGAAGGAGCCAAGGATTGCTTAGTGATTTTATTACTTGTACGTAAATTGATCAATTTTGCTATGATTTTTATTATCAAAAATTCTTTTCTTAGGACATCCTTAGACATGTTGGCTCTACCGACAGAATGCAAAACGCATGAAAGCTCACACAGGTGAACCATCTGTTTCAATTCTTCATGATTTCAAAATTTCATTTTCTTGGACCTTAACTTGATATTAAAAAAGTGTTAAAACTATACTTGGAGTTAATGTTTTTTATTTCTCAAAAAATGTTTCTTTCCTCTACTTCATAAACTTATCTTTGAAATAAATAGCCTACTTTACAGTTAAGAACAATGCACTCAGATTCAGAAAGCGAACAGTAGTTTTTTTCCCTTTACATTTGAACTGATTTTATTATTATATTCTTTATTTTGTAGAAAAATTAAAACATACACAATGAAATTACGCAGTCAGCAAAAAGAAACAAGTAATTCCAAAAGAAAACTTGATCCTGAGGGAGTCTCGGATTTTGCATATAGAGGAAATGCAAAGTATTAATTTTTTACCGATGTGCTGCTTTATAACGCCAAAAATTTTAAAAATGTGGAAATATTTCATCCTCTGAATATAATCTTTTTTCCTTGTACATGTCCACAGTCGCTTACAAGCAGTTAACACCATTTACTTAGTCCGCTGTCAAGATTTCTTGAGCAGCGAAAAATACAATGACACACATACGAATTATATACTTCACGTATTCACATGTAACTCTTCTGGATTATTTATTAAAATGTAAATATAAGTAGGAAATTGACTTACTTTGTTAGAAGAGATATATATGCAACTGTTACGAGAAATATTATGTGTAACTTGCACATGTCATTCAACATACATAAAAAGTAAGTGTTTACAAATACACTATCGTACGTCACGCAAAATTTACAAAATGTTTTTTTTTTAATTCACTGCAGAATTCTTCTTTGCAGTCCTTTGCAACACCGCAAAATTAAATATTCTACAGCATACACGAAACCCTTTTTCATTGCGCGGTATACTGCACAACAGGAACAGTACATGTATGCATCTTAAGTACTTTTGTTACATGCACACCAAAGTTGGGTTAACTTCCCTTATCAAAATGACTCTTACACATATTCGTCCATTACGAACACCAGATCTGGAGGTCTTGAAGGCACTAATTTAAAAAATATATAGTAATATACGTATGTAAAAAAATTCAATTCTTCAAACTTAAAATTTAGTAAAGGGATATCAATCAGATGAAAACTTTTATAAATATTTTGTTACTCAATATTAATTTAAATTTTTAAAATTTATTTCTTGCTGTTCTACTGGTTTATTTCATTTTAATAGTCACTGAAAGAGCTTCAAGGCCAGGGTTTTTTTTATTTGACCAAGTCTTTATCACCTATACCGAAGGATGCCTTCTGATTATTTTACAATGTTTGTTTGTCCTCTCCCGATTAGGTCTGTAGGTGAGATTTTTTTCATAATTTTCAATTTGAATGCAAATTTCTGATAAAAAAGAAATCCCAACGTAGATTTTAAAAATTGCTTCCTGTAGGGTAAAACGCATTGAGTCGGACAATTTTTATCCAGTCAGTTCGGAGAGGGCAACCAAACACTTTTTTTAAAATAATGCCCTTATAGAATTAAATGCCGTTTTAAGCACACTTTAAAACTCCCTTTTCTTTTTCAGAAAAGGCAAATACACTGTTGAAAAATGTTTCAAACAACTTCTCGTATCCTTTGCATTCGGTCCACCAGAGTTGAATCGACTATCATTCGTTGCAAAACGATTAAAACATTTGATGAATCTCATCAAAAGTGAAATTCCTAGACAGTTGGATCTAGTCAATCGATTTTTACTTTGTCATCATTCCAATCTTCAAACGAAAGATGTTTGTCTTCTTAGTTTTGATTCGATTCCTAATGAGGAGATGAGTGGAGGTAGGTATAATTATCATAGTATACACGTAGAAATCATATCAATATACTACATTTGCGTTTCGCTTAATTTTCCACAAGTATACATTATAGCGAGCGTCGCGAAGCGACGCTCGTAACTGCGAGCTCTAACGACAACGCCTGGGCGAAGAGAAAATTCGGACTACTGCACATTCATTCTTTAGAATTTTTGAATTTTTTGCTGCAGTAATTTTGACCCACAATGCATCACTTAGCAAAGTTGCGTTCTCGCGAGAATGACGGCAAATGTTCAACAAAAAGTTTACTCGCCTTGATTAAATGGATACATATTGAAGATAAATTGTAAACGTAACTTTTTTTCATTAACTTTCAGCACTGTTCAGTTTTTTCTTGGTATTTGTAACATTTGTAACTTACATACGACGTCATGTGACGTCAGAGTCTAGACGCACCAAATGTCACGTGCGGTTTGACGAGCCCGATCTAAATTAAAACAATAGAAGAGTTTGCGCTCGCTCTAACGGTCGCACCGTCAACATATTATTTTTTGAGTATTTGCAAGCTCGCTTGCACCGTTTTATTGCCATACATTGTACGATATCGATTGGCCACAAGACTGATCAAGGTTTAATAGGTGTAAAAAGTATAGAAAAATGTTTATATTTAAAATCTAAATGAGCCATGAAAAGTCATCTTCAGTTTTGTTAACATCCCCATCCCAAGCCACTTTTTTCTTTATATTTTCAATAAACCAATGTGCTCATGGGAGCAATATGAACCATGGGCTTTTTTATTCCATGATAGAAATTATGAAGAAAATATTTTTCAGATGCATCTGAGTTAACGGAAACTGTCGTAGTTTGTTACGTTGAAGAGAATCTAGTGAAAGAAAAGGTAAGCGTATTTTGACTATACATGCTTCTCTGTCATTTCCATGAAATGGCACATGACAACTTTGTCACTGAACGTGAATGTCGGCCTGACTACTAACGAAATTTAAAATCTTAAAACCGTTTGTTTGGAATTCAAACAGCACATCGGTTAGTTTTCAAAACTAAATAAAATAGCAATGCAACTTTTAATGGTTTATAATATACATGTATTTGATGCTAGCATTTACTTTTAGAAAAACAGCTGGAACCTGGCAATATTTGAAGTCGTTTATTCCCTTAAGTAATCTTAGAAACGGTTTCCCTTCTTGATAATTTTATTTTGATTTTGTAGGTTAAGATTTATAATCGGAAATTTGTGTTCATGAATTTTTGCGGCGACTGAACTGAGTCGACATTTAGGTAGCAACCGTTGTTTCGCCAAACCGAGCGCTCGGTTCTTAGAAAAAAGATTCGAGTCCTTCGGTTAACATTTAAAAATCAAAGTCCTGTGTCTCGACAGGCGTTGACAAGAAAAAGAACCATCACAACTAACTCTATAGCCTTGAGTGTCAAGCAATCTCTCTGGCTGAAATTTTCCGAATAGGACGTATGATTCTTAATTGTTTAACGTTCATCTCGAGAATTTTCACTCATATCGAGACGCATCACTTGTCACTTGAAGGCTGAAAATATATACCTTTGCTCGGCAACTATGACTTTTTAGAAGCAAGGGATCGTTTTCGTTCTTCGAATCTAATATATTTAGGAAGAATGATTTTCCATAGGTATAATGATAAATATTGTTAGGTAATAGCATTTTAAAAATGCATATTTCCCTTACTCAATCAATTATTCATTCTGTAAATGTTGACAAGGGCAATAACTCCTGTCTCAGGTCTCTTCATTCAGGCATTTGCTTTATTGAACTTCTAATGTAAACTAGTTTCCGTGATATTCACAATTCAAAAGTATCTATCTTATAAGCAACAAGTACTTAGGAACTTTCAGCATCATAATTATGCATCTGACTCAGTTTTTACGAAATATTATGATACTGTTTACAAAAAGATACGATTTTTAGCTCTACTGGTCAGAGACCAGAAGAGCTTATGCGATAGTAATGCGTCCGTCGTCCGTCCGTCTGTCTGTCCGTTTGTCTGTAAACAATTTTTCAAAATGCTACTCCTCCTACAGTTTTGGTCTGATTTTAATATAACTTGGCACACAAGTAGACTACACAAAGATACATAAAATAGTGCATCGGATTGTGATTTCGATGACAGGTGTTGCCATGGTTACTAAAAATAGAATTTTCTGTGAAATTCCTTTAAAACGCTACTCCTCCTACAATTTTGATCTGATTTCAATATAACTTGGCACACAAGTAGACTACACTAAGATACATAAAATAGTGCATTGGTTTTTTATTTCGATGAACGTTGTTGCCATGGTTACTTAAAATATAATTTTCTGTGAAATTCCTTTAAAATGCTACTCCTCCTACAATTTTGATCTGATTTCAATATAACTTGGCACACAAGTAGACTATATAAAGATACATAAAATAGTGCATCCATTTTTTATTTCAATGAATGGTGTTGTCATGGTTAATAAAAATAGAATTTTCAGTGAAATTTCTTTAAAACTCTACTCCTTCTATAATTTTGATCTGATTTCAATATAACTTAGCACACAAGTAGTCTACACTATTATACATAAAATAGTGCATCAGATTTTGATTTTGATGAATGGTGTTGCCATGGTTACTAAAAAACAGAATTTCCTGTGAAATTCCTTTAAAACGCTACTCCTCCTACAGTTTTGGTCTAATATATAACAATATAACTTGGCACACAAGTAGACTACACTAAGATATATAGAGTATTTCATCGGTTTTTGATTTTGATGAAATGTGTGAAATTCCGTTAAAACGCCACTCCTTCTACAGTTTTGGTCTGATGGCAATGGCTTCTTTTCTCATCCTTTGTTATAAGCACAAACCAGTAGAGCTACAGTCTCAACAGAGACTTCTGGTTTATGTTGATACATGTATATGCTTCTGTAAATTTATGTCTCCCATCTGAAATAATATGGCGACCATTTTTGGAAATAATTGGTAAATTTAAACTTTATTTAAAAAGATTAATTCATTTTTTGTACTTTTAACCATTAAAATTGTAAGGTAGGAAAGACCTTAAACGTGTAAATTTTACCGATTTCTAAATTTAATTTAGACTCACCAAGAAACCACATAATAATACCATAATTATACACTTTTTATAATTATAGGGGGGGGGGCGACCATTTGATTCTGAGAGGGGGATGGCAGATTTTGGAAATAAATAATCTATCCTCGATAATGTTGAAGATATAATTATATTATGTACTCGACTGGACAGAAAATGAATAATCTGTCCCCAATGCGACACCCCCCCCCCCGAAATGAGAGTTTTTATATTTTTATTATTTCTTTTTTTTTTTTGGCTTGACAGACTTTTTTCATTGAAGAAGAAAATAAATTATCTGCCATTTATTTAATTGGAAGTAAATAATCTGTCCTTCGCCGACATGAAAATTAATAATCTGAATTGAAAAAAAACTTGCCCCCCTCCCTTCAGAATCAAATGGTCGTCCCAGTTGTAAAATGAAATAATTTTAGCAAGATATTATACAACATGAAAAATATGGTCCTCTTCTCTCAAGAAGCTATGTTCCTTTTAAACGCAATTGCGATTTATTGATGCTTATCTGTTGTAGAAAACAAGAGAATTTATGCAACATTTGTACTCCAGTACTTCAAAGGAGAATTTCTTTCTCATTCATAATCTGCCTGGACACCTAAAATTGGAGAATATTCTAAAAGATTGGAAAATGGATGTCGACAAAAACCATCTAATCAAACACAACTTGGAGAAATCAATGATCTTCAAACAAATGTATCGATCACTAGACGGAGTAGTCGAATCTGTTATGGCAGCTCTGCAAGACCTTCCGGAGGGAAGCATTAAAGAAAATGCAATGAAAAAATTTGCATGTATTAAAGAAAAATTAAGAGAAAACCATACGCCTGTGCTTTCGAAAGAATGCAAAGGACTCCTACAATGGTAATTAAATACTGATCACAGAGCAATGAATAAAAATTGTCTTCGGTCAAGATTTAAGTATGCTATTTTGGATAGAGTTATGCCCCTTGGACTTAAAAACGTTAAATGTATCAATTTGCTGTTTCCATTCATTGCCGAGGTTGCACATATTGAATTGAAATTTGTTGTAAACATGTATCGTAAGTATATCTAGAAGTTCGGTTTTAGGTAAGATCGAGCCATTTTTATATTACGTTTGTAAGACAGCGATTGAAAATTGATGTGTTCTGAATATTGTATCAGAAAATGACCCTGTCTGTTATATGATTACTTTAAATTAAAAAAAAACAGGATATCTTTTTTCTTCAAATAATCATAATTATTTATTTCAGTGGCCAAGACATTGGTATCATTGCCTACAGAACAGACGGTAAAAGCCTTACAGTCTACACGAGTCAGCCTGAAACAAGGGCTCTAAATGCAAAATTGAAAGAATTGGAACAGATCTGTTCACCATTGTCGTTGCGACATTTCAATGTTCAAACTCCAATTTTCAGAAAACATTCTTTAATGGCCGGGTCTAAACTCGTGAACATGAGATCTGACTTTTTGGGAACACTTGGTTTATTCGCAAAGAAAGTCAAAGATGGTGTAGAAAAGGATGTTGCCATTACGTCCGCCCACGTAATTTGGGAAGGATGTACTGCAAATAGTGAAATGAATGGAGAGGACGTTGAAATAGGGACCTGTACATGGCCACCGAAACCAAGCGATGAACACTTCCATGCAAGAATAAAAGATTTGGCTCTTGTCCAGTTAAACCCGGGAATGTCGGAAAATATTTCAACTTCAAGAGAAATATTCCTTTATGTTGATTCAAAAGAGGAGCTTGCTTATCGATGCGTTTATAAACATGGATGTTCAACTGGCAAAAGTGAAGGAGACATCGACCTTCCAGTGTTCGACATGTATGGAAATAACGTAATGGTCATCACTCGTGAAAATCAAGAAAAGTTTTCCGAACCCGGGGATAGCGGTGCGCTTGTGCTAACGGAGCAAGGAAACAAATTGTATGCACTTGGTTTAATTTTTGGCGATGACTTAAATCTCAGAGAAAGTGACCCACAATTTCCGGAAAACGCTTCATTTGCTATATATTTGGATGAAGCGATTCGCAGATTTGAAAGAGTGTCTGATAATGAAAGAATAACACTGCATCGATATTGATCTCAGACCAGACCATGATTATCTTTTCCTCATTATTCACGAAGTTAAGTGCAATAATGAAGCCCTATTCGATTTCTATTTATTTGATTTTCCTTTAAAGGGGGTTACAATTCAACAGCAACTAAGCTCTTCATGAAGCAAATATATTTTTGGATACAGGCAACTGAAAAACTCTTAAATTTAAATTTTAAAGTTGTAAGATTTTTTTTTCTGTCAACAATGTAGCCCTCCATTAAAAAAATGGGTTGAAAATCATCTGTGCGTTTAACCATCGTACTCCACAGTAGCCAAAGTGTTGCGCATGACATTGACCATAAATTGTTTCAAGAAACGTCGATGTTAATAAATGATTCATTGAATTTCGATTAATAAAAACATATGTTATATTTTTTTTCCGTAAACAGCGATATTTTTGACTAAACAAGAGGCCCATGGGCCACATCGCTCACATGAGAATTGTGGCTAGGAAAAAAAAGAAATTGGTTTATAATTAAAAAGTTAAAATCCAAGCGTTTTCCCATGACCAATCATGGCTTTGTTATTCTTAAGAAGATGATTTGTAAAGAATTTTCTATGTAGTACTTTGATCGGCCATTGTGGCCCTGCTCTACCCCTGGGGTCATGATTTGAACAAACTTGAATTTAAACTGCCTAAGGATGCTTCCATTTAAATATGATCAATTATGGCTTTGCTATTCTTGAGAAGAATATTTTTACAGAATTTTCCTATACATTTCTATGTAAAACTTTGATCGGCTATTTTGGCCCCGCCTTACCCCCGGTGGTCATGATTTGAACAAACATATCTACACTACCTGAGGATGCTTCCATTTAAATATGATCAATTATGGCTTTGCTATTATGGAGAAGATGACATTTTAAGAATTTTCCTATGTATTTTTATGTAAAACTTATTTCAGCCATTGTGGCCCCGCCCTACCCCCGGGGGTCATGATTTTAACAAACTTGAATCTACACTACCTGTAAATGCTTCCATAAAATTATGATCAATTAAGCGTTTGCTATTTTGGAGAAGACTTTTAAAGAATTTTCCTATATATTTCTACGTAAAACTTTGATCGGCCATTTTGGCCCCGCCCTACCCCCGGGGGTCATGATTTTAACAAACTTGAATCGACACTACCTGAGGATGTTTACCCATATAAGTTTCATCTTTCCTGGCACAGTGGTTCTTGAGAAAAAGATTTTTAAAACATGCCAACAAATTTTCACTTATATCCAATTACATCCCTTTGAATGATGGCGTGGTCCTTCATTTGAATCCCCCTCACCCAAGGATACTTTGTGGCATGTTTAGTTGAAATTGGCCCAGGGGTTCTTGAGAAGAAGATAAAAATGTGAAAAGTTAACGACGACAACGACAGACAACAGAAAAATTTTGATCAGAAAAGCTCACTTGAGCCTTCGGCTCAGGTGAGCTAATAAGAGGGGAATTCCCTAATGAGAGCCGCTCTCCCGAGATCAAAAATTCTCATTGGCTATAACATCGCAAAACAACAGTGAACTTGTGATGTTGATAGGAAATTTTTTTTTAATTTTTCTCCTTTAAAGAATTTGACATTGTGTAATATAACATGAAAGCATAATATCTCTCAATTTCTAATTGTAGAAGGAATGGAATCATTTTTTTTTTTGCACGTTAATTCTAATTGTTTGTTTTGACATTTACTAGTATTCAACAAATCGTGTACATACAGCAAAGTTCCCGGACAAAATCTAGTGATATTAAGCTATGAGTAAATACAGATTTTACAATGAACCATTATTCTGAAATGTTTACTGTCGAATTTATTAATTGTAATCAATAATGTAAAATATGTAAATATCATGTAAATACATTATATATATTAACTTTATCAAAAAAATTTGATACAAACTTTAAGGTACATTTGTAATTGTAAATCAAGTTAATTGATAATATTTTGTAAGATTCAAACGAATTTTTTTTTAGCTCTAAGACTGACTTTTTACGGGTTATCCCGAACATAACTTATTTCTTTAAAAAGAGGTCAATTATTTAAAGTAAGCTAGTTGTACTCAAACGAATACATGGACGTGTTTATATATATATATAAAAACAACTTCTATCAGTTTAATATTACCATTTTCTGCAGTAATTTTCTTCGCAGAAATTGCACAATTTGGTATACAGATTTATCATGAGGTCAAATTTTGTTTGTGATATGATAGAGCAAATTTTACTGAGTGATACTCCTTGGGCTAGAATAAATTTTTATAATCACTTTCTTTGCAGATGTTGCACATTGGCGTCGGAAGCAAATTGAAAGTGGGGGGGCTAAGTGTAAAAAATTTTTTAAACCTTCTCAAAAAACCTGACAAGCAAAAAAAAAAAAAAAAAGAAAAAGAAATGTCCATTGTCCAAACACGAAAATCCTATTTCGTGGGGGAAGGGGGTATAGATTCGAACTTCAGTACCAAATTTTTATCCAAACACCACCTTTTATCCATGTCTTACCTATACTGCGACGTTTTTGTGGAAAGTGGCGGTGGGGGGGTGCTAAACCTACGAATCAATGTTCAATGTTTATACATAGTAAATCTTTGGGGAAAAAGTGGGGGGCTAAGTCTATACTAAGTATATATTTGGGAAAAAAGTGGGGGGCTAAGCCCCCCCCCCCCTAGCCCCCCCGGTTCCGACGCCTATGTTGCATATACCTAACTGAAATTTTTTAAACAGACTTACCATGAGATAATGTCATATATATTACGACCAAACAATTTAAATAAAAATTAAAGTTAAAAAATTTGAATTACTCGCATTTTCCATTCAATTTCACACATTTGCATGTATGCCCAGGTGGGGAGATAAGTGTTTAACGGACATGTTTTTATGTATGTGTTATATTTTAACATTTTTGTTATCAAAATAAAATTATTACAATCTGATTTTTTACTCTTATAATCACCCTCTTTTTTTTAACATACAAAAGCGCTAATAGACATTCTGTTAAACTTTCTAACTACATGTGCTGGGCGCAAGAATTTTTTCAAAACCATATAGTCTAATTTAAATAAAGACAACAGGCCCATGGGCCATATTGCTTACGTGGAATACTTTGACCCTTCTGTTATTTTAACAGATTGGCCCCTTGTTATACTTCTCTTGACCTTGCGCCAATTCCCAGGGTTCATAGTTCGAGCAAGATTTAGTAAATTCTATGGTCGATACAATGACCTTCTCATCAAATTCAATTTGTCATTGAGTCAAATGCTGACTGACGTTTTTCATACTAATTGTTAGTCAATTATATGTATTATACCCAGCGCGAAAAGTTGCGGGAAGTTTAATGGTTCGACCAGTCCGTCAGTCAGTCAGTCCGTCTTTTTATTTTTTGTCAGTGTAACTCCTCAGTAACCGCTCAGAATTTTGTAAAACTTTGCAGATATTTAGGACGCAATGTGTAGATATGCATATTACTAGCTCTTTAAACATAAATGTTTCAATAAATATAGCTTGTTAAAGAAATATCCGGATATGTTATTTTCTGCAAATACTTGTTCATGGAGCATTTGCAGCATAACCATGACCGAACAATCATGCCTCGTCTAAATTCTACACATTAAACATAAACGTTTGAATAAGTATAGTTTGTTTTAGAAATATCCAGATGTTATTTTCTGCAAATTCTTGTTAACAGAGCATTTGCCGCATAACCATGACCGTCATGCCTCCTCTGTCCGTAGATAAGCATCCCAAACAAAGAACCGTCTGTTGATTCCACTTGAATCACGCCACTAGGTACGTTTACTGTCATTACGCCAAATAGATATGGTCCCACTGTTATCGTGGAATGGAAGACCACATCGTATTCATGGATATTAGTGTTATTAATTTGGAGGTGAAATATTGATTCATTCCTTATTATGAAAGTTGCAAAACTAAAATTGTATCCTTCCGGTACATCAACAATATACTGATTGAGATACTGGTTGATTCCTGGAACAGTCATCATGTAAGGGTCACCGTAGACCTGAGATTTGGTTGAACCAGCGGCAAAAACATTAACTAGTACGGGTTTGGCAGATTGTATGAGACTTATTTCGTTTTCACGAGTGGTGAAATCCGTATAACGAGTTTTTAAAAGCGTAGTTGTAGTTTCCATTCCACCGAAAGTGTATGTAACTTTTGTTTGAAAAGGTGCAATTATTCTTACAAGTGATTGGTATCTATTTATGTTTGGTGGAACGATAAAAACGTCATCGAATTCGTCAACTGGTGGAATCATTTCCATTTGCATGCTGCATGCTCCGTGATATCCTAAATTATTGCATTTGTTTCCTGCAAATACGGCAATGGGCTGAGTAGAATTTATCGTTGTTCCCGACAAATCTGCCTTATGTCCAATTTGAAATGTTTGAAAATTATTTAATATTACCGTAAAAGTATCACCATTACCATATTCTTTGTCATGAAGAGAAATTGAAGTATTGTGATCTATAGCAAAGACTATACTGACATGGGTATTGTCTGTGGTTGCAGCGATCGTAAAGTGACTTCCGCTGTCCAGAAATTCCCTTGTAGGCGGTGCTGTTGAAATAATGTAGTATTTAGATAGCTTGTCTATGGGGAAAACTAAGGTACTGTCAGATGTGTATTCACCTTCGTCTAGTATTAATACAGTCGTCAACGCTGATGTTGTAATACGAAGAGCCTTAGATTCTATCACCGAATAAGCGGGAATCATCGAATAATGAACACTTATCTTTTTCAATATCCTATTTCCAGTTCTGCGCGTACTTGTAGTTAATAAATTTGGACTTCGACTATCTGAAAGTGTGACCGTCATGTTGAAATCATTTTCCGAAGAAACAAGTATCTTTCTATGAGTTTCATTTACTTCAATGTGATTCTGGATAAAGGTTACAAGAAAACTGCGCCCTGTGCTGCCTGTCAAACAGAAAATCTTTAAATGATCGATATAATCATACATAGAAAGGGAGAGAAAGAGAAATATCAAGGGCCTTTAAAACTTCTCACCCAAAGCGTTGTACGTTCTCAATACATTTGATTTTTCGTCCACACAAATTTTATCCTGTATCAATGACTGTATGGTTCCTTTTGGCGATGAATCCAGAGAACCTATAATGCATAATTATCAAGTGTCAATATTAGATAAGTTAGATTGTCAAAAAAGGGTCAAGGTATTTTTTTCTACCGAAACGGGAAAATTTAGCTCAAATTTATAAAGAAAACCCTTATAAAATATTGTTCCAAATAATTTAAATATATTTTTTGTTTATTGTTTAACGTTCCTCTCGAGAATTTTTCACTCGAATGGAAACGGTACTCCTAATGCGTAACAGATGGGTGTATTGACAGACGGGCTGACATCCCGATCATTATATACCCTCCAACTTTTAAAGCGAGGGGCTTAAATGTTTAATTCATAAGAGTTCAATATCAATCGAATGAAGGACCACCTCATAATAATTTAAACCACTGCTCAAGGTTTGCAGATATTGAGGGCACGGTGAGTGAGTAATTTGAGAAGCAAATTCTTTACTATTTGTCAACTGCTTATCATTCTCTTATCCAAACCAACCTGAGTTCAATTTAAAAAGTAAATTTTATGAAAATTTTCTTTCAAGGAAGAATATTATAAAAACATTGTACCGTCATTTTTATTCTTTTCCTGAAGGAACAAGAAAGTCATCGTAACAAAGCCAACGACGAACGCGAAAACGACGATGATGACGAAGATAAGACAAACTGTTTTTGCAAAGGTCTTTGATGATTTTCGATGATTTTCTTCCAGGTCTCTTCCTAACGCTTTAGGGGTTGCTTTAATATTTTTTATCTTCATGAAAAAAAAAAAAAGAGGTCATTAATGATTTAAAAGACTTATCATTAAGTTTATTATTCAGCTACATGTACGTTAGTTTCATCAAATTTCCAGAAGTTTTTTCCGAATGTTTCCAAACAAATATCAAAATTATAAGCAATGAAATAGAAATATTTGATTGGTAAATCAAATAAGGAAATTTATCAACAAAATGGCCTTAAATTCTTACCGAAATATATCCTTCGGCATCCTCGTTTTCCTGGAAAAAAAATAATCAGTGCATGATTTTGTGTCTAAATATATTCCATTTTTAATCATTTAGATGAGACTTTTCTGTCTGATCATTTATAAAAAATGAACAATTTCCTCAAATTTCAAACACATGTAGATCTGTATTTGTTTAGAATACCAATGGTCATTAGCCTCAGCTTAAAAGACACTGAATTTATTTAATACAATATACATTCACAGGAACATAAACTACGTAGATTTATATTTAAATGAAATATATGAAGATATCAAACAGTACGAACAGTATTCATTAAATAGTACAAAATACATGTAGGAGCAGAGCAAACAATCTGGGGGGGGGGGGGTCTGACCACCAAAATATCTGAGGGGGGGGGGGGGGTCAGTTGCCATGGAGGAGTGAGAAACCCCTTTCGAATGATCACAACTGCTGTATGCTTTCTGTTTTAATCATGAAATTTGTGTGAAGTTTACATTGTTGTGTACTTTATAAGGTTATAAATCCACTGTATAGTGAGTAAAAGGATTGAGGATTAAGTAAAAATGTGCGTTTTATGTATATCGTTTCATAAAATATATGGCAATTGATGCACAAAAAATAAAGGCAATAGGAAACAGGTAAAAATTCACAATAGGATAGAGCCATTTAAACCCTTCTCAAACACCACATACAGAGAAAAAAAAAGTCATACTAGTATCAAGTATCCTGATATTATAAATGATATTTTAACAAAAACAGTGGACCTCATTTCGAACAAATATTTATAAAGGACTAAAAATCTGGAACACATTTTGGAAGCACATTTTTACTATTCACAAAAAGGTTATCTTCTGAAATATATTTTCATACATTAATCTTTCCGTGGGGATCCGGGTTAGAATAGGTCCTCAGTACCCCGTTGCTTCTCGTAAAAGGCGACTAAATGGGGCGGTCCTTCGGATGAGACCGTATAAACCGAGGCCCCGTGTCACAGCAGGTGTGGCACGATAAAGACCCCTCCCTGCTCAATGGCCCTAAGTGCGGAGCATAGGCCCAAATTTGCAGCCCTTCACCGGCAATGGTGTCGTCTCCATATCAATGAAATATTCTGGAGAGGGACGTTAAATAGTATACAAATTAATCAATCAATCATACATTAATGATTTAGGAAAGGTAAAAAAACAATTTATTAATGTAGCGTAAAAAAGACATTTGCATAGTTACCAAGACTTCATATGGATTTTGCTCGTCAGTTTGATATGCAGGGTTTTCGTAATTCTGGAAGGAAGAGATAATATGATGATAATATATACAAAAGAAATTTGAGTCTTAAAAAGTAATACATGTATAAAGTACATGTAGTCGCACGCTCGCATTAATTATATAAAACAAACATAGGTCTTTACATGGCAAAAATTTGACTTGTGATATCTTCATTATAACCCCCAATTTTTCAAAGTCGGGTTTGATTAAGAGATACAAGGGCTTGTGATATATGATAAAATAATTTCTTGTTGATTTCCATAACTAATGACGTGCATGGAATTGCTAGCCGAATCTTGAAATAGCTTGTCAAAATTAAAATGAATTGTTTGAGCACATTAATTTGCAAGCGTCTCAAGTTTTTTCATTGTTAAAAAATAATGCGAAATTGACACTTTAATGGAAATGTGTGTATTACGATAATCATAATATTTACAGTTAAAATTAAAATTTGACAAAATAAATTGACGTTATGATAATCGATATCAATGAACATTTAATGGTGTCAGGTGAAGAATATTGTAACTTCGATGATGACAAACCAACCTGATCCGAATTGTGTTCAGCCATTTTGCTCTACTTGAATTCCTATTACTTTATATTTTCTTGACCTGAAAATAGAAGTTCATTATTTAAAAAATTTCAATACATAAATTGAATTTATGAAAAGTACAAGCTTTGCCAGAAAAGTGTAACGTGCGAAATGAAAGATAACATATTCCATTAAAAAAAAACTATTGCAGATTTAAAGAAAATGTAGAACTTTCATACCTTTTAGAGAGGATTCCTTATTATTAAAGCAGGTGCAGGTGTACCAGGAAGAAAAGGAACATGGTGACCTAAAAATTACAAAAAAAAAAAAAACAAAAAACAGACGATGCTGGGTCTTACATGTCAAAATATGTGTAGGATGATATTTCGGAATAAGTAAGAAAAATATACTTTTTTGTTGTAATCTTCTGAAACGTGAAGTATTTGTCAGCCAACAAAACGATATCTTTTAGAATGTCACTTAGTTGAACGCAAACGAAAAGAAATCGTCTTTTTTTTATTGTTAGCAAAAACAACGTGCATTCATCTTCATGCAGTTTAACATGAATATCCCCGCACCAAATATACCCTTGTATGTCTGTCCGTAACAAATCTTGGTCGCAGTTTTCTGAGCAACTACTCATCGCAGATACTTTGAATTTAAACATTATCTTTTCTTTGGTATGCCATAGGCGTCGGAACCGGGGGGGCTAGGGGGGCTTAGCCCCCCCCCCACTTTTTTTCCAAATATATACTTAGTATAGACATTGAACATATCTTCTTAGGTTTAGCCCCCCCATTTTCCACAGATATGTCTTAGTATAGGTTAAAAATTGGGAAAAGTGGATGTATTAGGAAAAAAAAATTGGTACTGAACCTCGAACCTACCACTAAACCCCCCCCCCCCCCCCCCCCCCACGAAATAGGATTTTCGTGTTTTTTTTTTTTTTTTTTTTTTTTTTTTGCTTGTCAGGTTTTTTGTGAAGGTACAAAAAAATTTTTTTTGGTTACACTTAGCCCCCCCACTTTCAATTTGCTTCCGACGCCAATGTATGCTACATGTATATGGCTGGATTTATTATACCCCTTGCTTGTAAAGCAGGAGGGTATATAGTAATCAATACGTCCGTCCGTCTGTCTGTTACTTTTTGGGGAACACTTCTCTAATCTGCAACCCCTCTCATACCACTGAATGAAATTTGATTAAACTTTTACAGAATTTTTACAGTAACTACATATTTCCTTTGTGCATCTCTTATTTTACTTTGGGTTCCCACAACAAAACATGGACACTTCCATTATATTCATGTTGGAGGCGCGGGGGGGGATATCATTTAGTGAGCTCATTACTCACAGAACCTCTAGTTTTTGTTCAAGTCCGATGTCAACTTCCTCTTTATCCGTGCATCTGTATTACGCTGTAATATACAGTTATTTAGAATGGACGGCTCTGTAGCTCTTCTGGTCCTTCAATATATTTTTTTTCGCGGAGAGCTACATTTCTGCAGCAAGGTAAAGAACGGTGAGCCAGAGTGTCTTTTTTGAATTCCTTGACCTCCGTTTGAAGACAACTGTAGCAAATTATTTATAGGCGTATTCTGCTTTAAAATGGATAAGAGCATTGTGTCCGATTTACATTGCTGCTCTCGCTTTGCTGTGGTACTTCCGTATTTTCCCTTTCCTTATATAAACTCATGGTAACTTGTTATTTATATACATCATTGTATATTATATTTAAATACTGTCTATTTATACATGTAAATAATCGTGTTATACATGTAATAAACAGCTACAAACACACTATTTTGAAATGTAGACCATCGTATTAGGGTTCATCCTAATTATGGCTTTTTCATTTACTTTTACAGATTGATTTTTTGCAATTGGATAAAATGATTTCCATATACAGTGCTGAATGGGTTTTATTTTTTTTTTTAATATAAAAATGGTCATCTTTTATAATTTTAATATTTATTGATGTTTCACTGAATGAATTACACAAAATCAATTTTTGATTTCAATGCAGTTTATTTAATTATTTACAATTTCACTAAGTGACTTTGTATGTTTTGTGTTCTCCCTTAAAATCTCTTTGAAACGGCATTTCCTTTGTACACAGTGTTGTCATGAAGAATTTGGATTAGATCATCTGTAACTTGGAGAAGGAGTCTTTCATTAATTGCTTTATTATGGAGCCTGAAACAGCTGCATGTATATATACTATAGGCGAATAATGTGAATAATTATAGATGTATAATGTAGACTCCCACCTGTTTTGTGCAGGCATCTCTGAAAAGAAGTGAATTATAATGTAAAAATAAATCATTTGTCACCTGAAGTAGAGGAAAATCGGATGTCATAATTCCACAAACCTTAATCTGCACCTCAGCACTCAAAATGCTCTCTCTACTATATTCCTGGTCGCCTGCGTGGCGCAGTGGTTAGAGCGTCTGCTCTAGAGTCGCGAAGTAAGGAATCAATCCTTACGTTGCGGGTGCGAATCCCACTGTGGGACGTGGAGACTGGTCCTTCGGATGAGACTGTATAAAGCGAGGCCCCGTGTCGCAGTAGGTGCTGGCACGAAAAAGATCCCTCACTGTTCAAAGGCCCTGAGTGCCGAGCATAGGACACAATTCAATTTGTAGCCCTCCACCGGCAAGTGGTGGTGTCTCCATATGAGTGAAAAATTCTCGAGAGGGACGTTAAACAACATACAATCAATCAATCAACCTACTATATTCATGACTCCTGTTGAGGCATTGGCCTGGTTGTTCCGCTGTTCTTGGCTTGGTGCACCTTTAGGATTGGTAAAAAGGGTAAACTTTCTAACACAACCACAAATACATTGGGTGTTGCTGCGGCCGATATTGAAAGCACATCACTTAAAGAGAAAAAGGACATCACAAAAAAAATAAATACACATCGTGAATTTTATTTCCTCATTTCAAGATTGTCCAAGCGTTCCATAGAAGTCGGTGTTGGCTCTACTCTTGATTAACAATGCTTGAATGGACTCTTCATCCAGAATTCTGATCGTTATCAGCATTTATTTCAACATTGATGAATATATTTCTTAAATAGCTCTGCAAGTTATCTTTTGGTATTTTGTCTTCAAATGCATTAACATTGTAGAGATGCAGGGGAAGAGTTTCTTATGGGGGAGTTTAGAGGCGAGAAAAAAAAATTATTTGAAAAATAAGGAAAAATTTATTTTGTATGAATACAGTGTATGTTAAGGAGGAGGGGAGGGGGGTTAACTTCTTTCAGTACCAAATTTTATTCCATATAATGTACTTTTGAAAAAAAATTACAAACTCGTAACTTTTATTTTGTATGAATACAGTGTATTTTACGGAGGGGGGGGGGGTGTAACTTCTTTCAGTACCAAATTTTATTCAATATTCACTATTACAAAACCCTTAAATTCAGTGACTATATTACAACAAAGGGGGTCGGGGGGCTTTTTAATGTACATTTTGAAAGTTATAAGTTTATAAAAGTGATGAGGTAGGACACTACCTGTCTGGTCGTTATGGATCATTTATTATGAATGGGAAAAAAGGTTGTATTATAAAACAAACGGAGAAAGGGAGTGGGAGAGTATAATACTTGTGTTAGAGACAAATTTCACTTGCATAAAGGGAAAAATTTTCTTATATTTTTTGTACAGTTACAGGAGTTTTAAATTTGATGGAATCAACAGGCACCTTAACTGTGAATAAAAAATATGTAATATTAGTCAAAACTGAGCAAAACAGCACAACTTAATTGCCAGTAATAACATTAAGAATTGAAAATGGAATTGATAGGGAAATTACATCATAATTTTCAAGAGGTCTTCAATAAAGTTTTCCCACTCATCCAAATTTTTTCACAACGACAAGTTACATGTTTATGTACAGCATTAGATATTTTCGGTACAGTTTCCGTCCCCTATGCCATAACTTTGTTGAGGGATCTTGAGAGTGCACGACTATATCCACTGATTTTTTTTTCCGATTTATTAAGAAAACCATTGGCGTTCATCTGTTCATGAACAACACTATGCATATTACTTAATCAGATTTAATTTTAAGTGGCAATCCTACTAACAATGATTATTTATACAGTTATCAATGTTTAATATTAAATCATGTCTTTCTTTGGTTAGTGCCTGAATTAACGTCGCACCTATCGCAGAAAAAATTCTATGAAACGCGAAGGCGGGATTTACGCGGTTTATTTATTACATTTTTTTTGCAACAGCTGCGACATGTTTTTCCGAACTATCAACCAAAGAAATAATTTTATTGTTTAAATAAACTCACGTTTTATAGTCAATTATTAAATATGAAAATCACGTATAGCGTTTTTAGTATGACTTTTAAACTGGAAATAATTTTTTTCTGTTTTCTGTTCCACGTTTTAGCAACATCCATAAAATGAGACTTCAAAACGTGAAACTCTAAATTAATAATAATAAGAATACATTTTGATTTGCTTTCAAACCCATAGAAGGATATTGGATAATAGTATTGATATTATATTGCTCAACAGTATTTCATGCTTTCTCTTTTGGTAGACTAGTATAGATTATTTTGTTTTACATTGATGTTTATTGGATAAAATTAAAACCCATTTCTATGTTGCCAAAGAATAATTTTGATAAACTTTGACCCTAGGTAATGCTAACCATTTTGCAAAAAAAATAAAAAAAAATCTTGAGACAATTTTTGGATTGCTTCACAAAATAAAAGGTAAGTTTATTAAAGAAATATAAACGTCTCATATAATATTAAAACATGAGAAAAATAAGTACATTGAAGCATTTAACCTCTTTTGCATGAAATTAATCTCGTATGCTGATTTTGGTATTAAATTAATTATATTGCAGGTTGTCACAAGGTCGTTTCAGAAATGACGCTAAACATATACGAACAGAAAGGCAGTACTGACGAGGTATATATAAGAATAAGTTTATATTCTAGTGTTAAGTTTTTTAACTTTGAAAACAAAAATCATCCGAGGTGAAATTATTGTTAATAAATGAGTGAAATACTCTCTCAAATGTGTAGACAAGTTGAAATTCTCATGAAATATTCC